TCTCGCGCTTCCCAGGGCAGATCCTGGTTGCCAAATGCATCGTCCCTGTCCTGCCATATCAGCTTGTACCGAGCCTGACAGGCTCGGAAACGCAGGCTCGGCCGCGAAAACGGAGGGGGTGGGGAGGAGGAGGAAGGGGGGAAGTGAGGCAGAAGGGCGAGGGGGAGTGAAAAGGGGAGATGAAGGCGATATGGAGAAGGGAGGGGAGAGAGGGAAGGCAGGGAAGGGAGTGGGGGAGTAACAGGAAAGAGGGAAGGGGAAGGGAAGGGGAAAGAGAAGGGTGGTGGACGGGGGAAGGCGAAACTGTTCCCATGTGGGCTCGAAGATCTGATGTGATAGCACTTGATGAGATAGAGGAGATGAGGAAGAACGATGGGGATGAGGGTGAGGCGACCTGTGAAGGTGGGGGGGGAGAGGGTAAGGTTGATGGAGAGGAGGAGGTGAAGGGGGAGGTGGAGGAGGAGGAGAAGAAGGAGATTAAGGTCGAGGTTGATGCTGAACGAAGTACTGCTGATACTGGTGGTGGTGCTCTGATGGTGATAGAGATGGGGAGGGTGGACTGGAGAAAGGGACAGAGGAGAAGGTGGGGGGTGATGCTGCTGCTGCTGTTGCTGCTGCTGATGCTGATGGTGGTATTGCTGGGGTGCAAGAGATGGTGGAAGCTGTGACTGAGGGTATGGAGACAGAAGGGTTCAGGGGAGCGGATAGCGATGCTGTGGGTGCTGTGGGTGCTGAGATCGGGATTGTGAGTTCTGGCCCTGCTTCCTCATGTGTCCTTCGCCCCTCACCTCATTCACTTCCTGCCGTCACCGTTGCTTCTAGAATGGAATCAATGTGTGGAATCAATACTCCTTTGACCTTCGTCTACTGCAGCAGCCGCAGTGGCTTCTCATTCGCTTCATGAACCTTCTCCGTTGCATTTTCATGTTGGATTATTGCTTCTTCTCCATGGTTTTCGCATTTCACCTTATTCTCCGTGTTAAATATTGTGTGTGTGTTTTTTTTTTTTTTTTTTTTTTTTTTTTTTTTGCTTGTGTCATTTGTCTTTGTGATCGCAACAGCAGGTCCCTTCACCACGATTGGCTCGTGGCCATTCGAGCTTCGAAACAATCTTATCCGTTTTGCGTTGCAACGATCGCCTGACGGGGTGCTGCTCTGCTGGTACGTAGATGCCTCAATACAGCTGCTACTGTCTTGTTATTGCTGCGCTGCCATGCTGCCATGCTGGTATGTTGACTCGTGGTCATTCAAGTCGCTCGAGGATCTTATTTTAATTGCATTGCAACGACCGCCTGACGTGCTGCTGGTGGTATGGCAAGGCTGCGTATGACCTGCTACTGTCTTGCTGCCAGTCTGCTGGTATACTGGCATGATGTCATGCTGGGTATTCGATTCATGGATACTCGAGCCACTGAAAGACCTAATCAGATTCGCATTGCAGCGACCACCAGATGTGCTGCTGCTGGTTAAGATGTCGGCCTCACATCACCTGCCACTGTCTTGCTGCTAGTGCGCTGTGCTCTACTGACATGCTGGCCTGGTGGCATTTAACTCGTGGTCACTCGAGCCGCTAAAGGATCCTATCAGATTCGCACTGCAGCGACCACCGGATGTGCTGCTGCTGGTATGTTGATGCCCTCACATCACCTGCTACTGTCTTGCTACTAGTGTGCTGTGCTGATATGCTGACATGCTGAGTGAGTCACCTGAGCCACCCACCTGAGCCACCCACCTGAGCCACCCACCTGAGCCACCCACCTGAGTCACCCGCACTGCAACCACACTGCTCTTGCACCAACGCACTCTCCCCTCCACTCCCTTCACCCTCTCCCGCTTCCCCTCCCCCTCTTCCCCCCACCCTTCCTCCAGCACAGACGCTCACCCCCAGGGCACGGGCGCACTGACCACCTCGGCGCTATCGCCTCCCTTCCCCATGCGCTAGCTCTCTGCTACGGCTAAATGACTATACCCGAAGGTCACAAGCAGGTCAGTCTCAGGTCAGTTTTAGGTCAGTCTCAGGTCAGTTCAGGTCAGTCTCAGGTCAGTTCAGGTCAGTCTCAGGTCAATTTCAGGTCAGTCTCAGGTCACTTTCAGGTCCGTGTCAGGTCACTTTCAGGTCCGTGTCAGGTCACTTTCAGGTCCGTCTCAGGTCACTTTCAGGTCCGTCTCAGGTCAGTTTGGGACCTGGTCAGCCTTTGGCAGATATGGTTCAGCCCACAATGTTAGGAAAGAAACAGAAAAAGGTAACAGGAGGGGGGAGGCCGAAACCAGTAAGCTTGAGCTGGTGCTCCTGACTGCGCTCTGGTTTCACTGTTCTAGCCCCCGAAATGCGCCGTCACGGCTGGGGTCTTGTGGGTGCTCGTTACGATCATGGTGTGTATTGCTAGCTCAAATTGGGCCATGCTGCTGCAAAAAGTAACCCAGGCTATGCCGCATGGCTTGGGCCAGCTCGGTTGGACCGAGTCAACCTTGGGCTGGTATGGGCTGGGCTGACAGCGAAAGAAGGGGCCCTGGTTTGGCCAAGGATGAGTGGGGGGTCGTCATATTGCACATGCTTTATCTGGGTGCTTACACACCCCTCCAAAGCATGCATGTGCACCCAAACCAGTGTTCATGGCATAACCATGGAGGGTAGGAGTGGGGGAAGCGACACAAAGAGCTGACTACTATCCTCCTGGGTGGGTGACCAATCCTATTAACCCCCCACCCCTACCCTTTCGCCCCCCATCTCCCTCTCCTTGCTATTTGCTTAATGGCAGCTGCAGAGAGATGCCACACGCATTTTAACTGTCTTTCAAATATTCCATCGTTCACATTCCCAACCCCTCCCTTCCCCTGTCCTTCCCATATCTTCCCTCAGCTGCTGCTAGCAGTGCCATGCCGTCGCCATGATGGCATAGCGTGGTGGAAGGTGGGGCTGGTGGGGACGGCAATTCATTCGAGGGGAAGGGGCACAAAATCAATGGCTACAGTAATGAGAATCATAAAATTCAAACTGGAAGGTCCACGTCGTACAACCCAATTTGTGCATGAGCAGCCATGCTTGTGCGTTGCTAACTGTACTTATGATGCAGCAGATGTGCATGGGTACCTCTTTCCATCGTTCATCTCTTACTCTTTTCTGGCCAATTTACATTTGCATTTGCAACTCGTCTGTGATTTGCCATAGTCTTTCATGCTTTCACCCAGGCACAGTCGAGGGGAGGGTTAGAGAAGGAACCAGGGGAGGTGATGCTTGGGTCATGGGCTGCAGTGGCTGGAAGTCTGAGGCCGGAAATGACCACGACCATCACTATCTCATCACAAGAACCCTACGAGCTTGTTTCATCAAATAGGCCAGCCCGTCTCGCATGCCTGCCCTGCCCTTCACTCCGTACCAGCATATTCCCCAGGATGGTGAATTCACCTCTTCGTCACCTGCCCTTCATTATTCCTTCTCACCTCCCCCTGCCAGTTGCCTTGACTTCCCCGTTCTCCAACACCTCCTAAGATGCTTTTGCAGTCCTTGCCACCTTCTATATCTTGCTGTCCCCTTCCACTTCATTCTCCATCAGCTCCTCATGGCAACATGGTGCATCCGTAAACCCTCTGTGGCCTGGTCCTCACTCTATGCCTCATGCTGTACCTTATCGCATACCTCATTCCATACTCCACATCCCACAACTCTGCCATATCCATACCATTTTTTTGTTTCTGCATTCCATCAGTGCTCGCACACTCGCACCTGCCAATTACCCACACCTGGCCTTCACCCATGACTGCCTGTCAACCATGCCTGCTCCTTCATCTTCTCAAGCTCGGAGTGACACGATGACGGGGCCACGCAACAGCACCAGCTGAGTCAACAGCAGTGACGAGCAGGGTGGGGGATGCATTATGTGGGTACAGCGGCCCAAGCAGTGAGGCATGCAGCTGCAAGAGCCTTAGTGTAATCTTGCTACGTTAATGTTATCACTGCATTGCAGTGAGCATTGGTGACACACAACACAACAACCTCAGAGGAGAGGAGGGCAGCCTGCTGATGGGAGTACCACTGCACCGCCTCCAGCATGCGAGTCCGCCGAAAAGATGCAAGTCTTTGTTCCCTGCATCCCTCCAGTCCAGCATGCCACTCGAATCGAATCCATCTCTTCCATGGCATCATGCCTTCAGAGAAGATCCAGCAGCTTGCACCGCATAGGAAGCAGAATCGATTGCAATAGAACCCTATCTCCTGTATGCATCCCGTGTGCCTTTGAATGGGCTGTATGGGTGGGTGATGCAGCAGCATGTGTGTATGACCTCTACCCTTCCCATGCAGGCAAGGAGATTTATGTTTCCCCTCTGCCATCCATCCCATGAGTCATGCTCTGCCAGGCTGCCCAGCACGATCCCCTCTAGCAAGCAGCTGCACTGCACACCCGTGCATGATATTTTCATGGTTCCATGTTTACACTGACTATGGTACTCTGATACCGGTAGTTATCAGAATACTTGTACAATTGTTCTTTCATCTAGCCGCATATCCCTCAATTTTACACATGTAGACTACCGATGAAAATCATTGGAGCGTTCCTAAACTTACCACAGTATCAAGTGGAGCATAATCGGGCTTGCATGCATCCAGAGTCAGGCAGGAAGCCCAACGCACACCGCTGTTTTATCTTGCCTGAGCAGCATAAGGGTAAGGCAAGGCACACACAAATGCACACAATCATCCTCCTACTCAATGCTGGATTCAGGCAGAGGCATGGCCAGCCACCAACTTGCACACACACACCTCCCCTGAATCCACACTTGTTGCCCATCCGACCTCCACCTCCCTATCCTTCTCTACATCAGCAGCACTTGTTGCCCATCCGACCTCCACCTCCCTACCCTTGTCTACATCAGCAGCACTTGTTGCCTTCCCTCGTTCTTCACACCCCTTGTCTCCATGCCGCTCCTCAGTCTTTTCCTGAATAATCACAGTAAACTCTTCCCCCACCACACCTCCCTTTTTATCATCACCCGCTGCCACCTTACTTGTCTATCTGCATGCGAGCAGCATCACTCATAAAGATACCCCCATCTGGCGTAATGAGACATCTCAGCTTGGTCAGGGCAGTCAGCTGCAGCACCCCATCATCCGAGACTGCCGTGCCACACAGCCAAAGTTTCTCAAGCCCTGTGAGCCTCCCCACATGCACCATGCCGGCATCTGTCACACCCTTGCATTCAGAAAGCTCGAGCTCTTTGAGAGAGGACAGAGCTGTCAAATGCAGCAGCCCAGCATCAGTCATCTTGGCCTCATAGAGATAAAGCTTCTTCAGACTGACCAAGGACCTAATTCCTTCCAAGGCACTGTCTGAGACGCCTGTTCTTCGGAGGTTTAGCCTCTCGAGCCGTGGCAGCATGTAGAGGTGCTTGATGCCTTCTGCAGTGAAGCCTGAGCTACAGCACAAGTTGATGCTCGTCAGGTGAGACATTGTGGACACGTGGGCGAGCATGGCGTCTGAGAGGCCCTTGAGTTGCGAGAGACTCAGTTCGGTTCCTTGTGATGCCGACTTTATGTCCTGGAGGTGATGGATGAAGAGGGAATGAATGCGAAAAAAAGGACTGATCATTGTGACATAGCAGCTGTGATCAGGGGAAATCAAGCTTACCCTGTCAAACAAGTCACCGAGCACTCACCTCCCATGCAGTTTTCTGATCGCCTTCACTCTGGTTGATTTCCACCTCAACATTCACCCAATTCCTGCAAGCCTTCACTCTGGCTGTGATGGCACGAGGCCAATCTAGCTCCAGCACCTCCCTCCTCTCCTCCCTCCCCCTTGCCAACTCCGCTCTCATTTCTTCTTTGAACTCTCTCATCTCAGATTCTATTCTCCTCCCAGCCACATCGTCTTGCTCCCTTATAGCATCCTTCTGTTGAGCCAGCTCCCCCTTCACTGCAGCCAGCTCCCTCTCCCTCGCCATCACCTGCCCACTCATCTCCCTTATCTCCGCTACTCGTTTCCTCTCGGCCTCATCCAGTTCCCCCTTGGCTGCTGCCAACTCCCTCCTTGTCTCTTCCAGCTGCACGCCAAGCGCCCTCATTCTCATCTCCATCGCGTCTTTCCACTCGTGTGTTCCGGCCAAACTCGTCAAGACAGCCCCAACAGCCTCACTGACACTCTGCACCCCAGCTTTCCTCTCCTCCACCTCCTCTGACAACTCTGCTCTAACTTTCTGCTCTCCCTTCCTACTCTCCTTTCTTAGTTCTCTCAAATCTGACTCTCTCTTTCTCTCAACCATATCCCATTCCTCTGTCATAACAGCCTTGTGGTCAGCCAACTCCTCCTTCACTGCACACAACCCCCCTTTCACTAGGGCCACCTCTTCCCCCCTCTTCTCCACCACAGCAGCAACCGCTGCAATCTTCTCCGCCACAGCACACCTCAACGCATTCACCTCATTCTCCACAACGGCGTTCCTCTCCTCCAACATCACCACTCGCTACTTCTGTCGGCCCACCTCCTCCCTAACCGCGGCCAGCTCCCCTTTTACTGCTGCCAGCTCCCCTCTCACTAAACCAAACAGCCCTTTTACTGCCTCAATTATCGCATTTGCCTCGCTTTCTACAGCCATAACTGCAGCTTGCGTACCCCCCTCCCTCCCTACAAAGGAATGCCCAAAATGGATGGCACTGTGGCATGTCAAAATTGGTTGGACGCGAATGCATAGAGGACACACAACAAGAGAAAGAGGAGCATTAGCCAAACCAGGCATGATGAAATTGGTCAAACCAATCTTCAATACTCAGTGCAAGTAACACAGCAAAACATACTGAGTGTGTTGCTGGGATAATCAGGCGTCGGAGAGGGAAACCGACTCTGTGCAAGTAATGCTCGCTACAAGTCGTTAACAAGGCAAATTGGAACGCCTTGCCAGCTGCTCTACAATGAAGCTGATGAACCAGTAGAGTAAGTTGTGAGCTTTTCTGAGCGAGAAATGTGAGCTAGCACAGCTCTACTAGCGGGAAAACGCCTACCAAACAATTGCAGATTCAGAGAATCTGTCGGAATTTAACGGAAAACTTTTAAACGCCTCCTCAGCTTGGACATTAGATTTGAGCCAGGTCGGGCACGCATCAACTTTGGCTTTGAGCGACCCAGGCTCTGCTTGGTGGTCAGAGGGTAGGCCACACAAAACGAGCTGAAGGGGTTAGCAGCGAGCCTGGTTCGACTCGAGCATTGCTCATGCATAAACCACACCAAACCACAGCATTGTGGAATGAGGGAATAAGTGGTCGGGAGGGGTCATTGGTGGTAAGCAGAGAGCTTGGAATTGTTTTGGGGTGACCTAGGCTCCAAACAAGCTATTGTTTGGATTTAGATAATGTGACAGCTAAACCATCTCGCTCGTTGGTGGTCAGAGAATCAGGACCTCACAAGCTAGACAAGTCACACGTAAGGTCACATACAGGCTATGTCGGTTTTAGCCAAGTCACTCACACGAAAGGTCGGCCACAAGCTAGGCCACTCACAGGTTAAGGCAGTATACGCTAGGTCAGTCACAGATTAAGTCAGTCAGTCCGAGGTTGGTAATTCACTGGCTAGGTCAATCCGAGGCTAGGTCAATCCGAGGCTAGGTCAATCCGAGGCTAGGTCCTAAGTTGGGCTCTTACGTTTTTGGAGGTCACGTAAACGTAAATTTCGCGTAAACGTAAACGAAAACGTAAATTACGCGTAAGTATGAGGCGGGCAGGAAAAAAAAAGTTTAGAGCTTTTTTTTCCAGGATTATGTACGTGTACTAGATCCTTACTACTAATCCGACGTGTGTTTTTCTAGAATAGCGACTTTACTACGTATGGAGGGCCTTTTGAGTCCGTGAAAGTTTCAGATTCAGCGTTGACCTGGTTAGTAGGAGAGAAACACGATAGATTACGAACGAGCTGCTAGGTTGACACCACCCTTGTCGAACTTGGATCTGAATCGAGAATTCAGATTCATGGTTTACCCAATGAATCCCCCTAATACTCTGGTCATTTCTTTTCCCTTGGGCAGCTCAAAAAAGTTTTGAGGTGACCGTAAACGTAAGGCCGAATCAGGGCCACCGTTCGTAAACGTAAAAATTGTCGTAATTTTACGAAAACGTAAGGAACCGTAAACGTAAGATCCAACTTAGGCTAGGTCAATCCGAGGCTAGGTCAATCCGAGGCTAGGTCAATCCGAGGCTAGGTCAATCCGAGGCTAGGTCAATCCGAGGCTAGGTCAATCCGAGGCTAGTTCAATCCGAGGCTAGGTCAATCCGAGGCTAGGTCAATCCGAGGCTAGGTCAATCCGAGGCTAGGTCAATCCGAGGCTAGGTCAATCTGAGGCTAGGTCAATCGGAGGCTAGGTCAATCCTAGGCTAGGTCAATCCGAGGCTAGGTCAATCCGAGGCTAGGTCAAACCGAGGCTAGGTCAATCCGAGGCTAGGTCAATCCGAGGCTAGGTCAATCCGAGGCTAGGTCAATCTGAGGCTAGGTCAATCCGAGGCTAGGTCAATCCGAGGCTAGGTCAATCGGAGGCTAGGTCAATCGGAGGCTAGGTCAATCCGAGGCTAGGTCAATCTGAGGCTAGGTCAATCTGAGGCTAGGTCAATCCGAGGCTAGGTCAATCTGAGGCTAGGTCAATCGGAGGCTAGGTCAATCCTAGGCTAGGTCAATCCGAGGCTAGGTCAATCCGAGGCTAGGTCAAACCGAGGCTAGGTCAATCCGAGGCTAGGTCAATCCGAGGCTAGGTCAATCTGAGGCTAGGTCAATCCGAGGCTAGGTCAATCTGAGGCTAGGTCAATCCGAGGCTAGGTCAATCCGAGGCTAGGTCAATCGGAGGCTAGGTCAATCCGAGGCTAGGTCAATCTGAGGCTAGGTCAATCTGAGGCTAGGTCAATCCGAGGCTAGGTTAATATGAGGCTAGGTCAATCTGAGGCTAGGTCAATCCGAGGCTAGGTCAATCCGAGGCTAGGTCAATCCGAGGCTAGCTCACTCTGAGGCTAGCTCCCCCCAAGCTAGGTCAGTCACAGGGTAGGTCAGCGACAGGGCAAGGCTAGCTTCCCCCAAGGTAGGTCCTTCAGAGCCTATGTTAACTCAGACGCTATGTTGATCACATGCTAGATCAGCCAAAAGCCAGGTCATACAAAATAGGTCAGTTGGAGGCTACGACAGTCACTAGGTAGGTCAAACAGAGGCTAGGTCAGTCACAGGGTAGGTCAGCGACAGGGCAAGACGGCCGCAGGGTAGGTCGGTGACAGCATGCTGAATGGGCCATGGAGAAAAACAGCACCCACGGGACTTCAGGAAGGGCCTAGGCCGACAATGCATCAGAAGTTACGCATCAAGCTCCGACACACGTACCAGCACCATGACTTGAATGTCATGAAATGCGGAGGCCAAGACTGGGAGACTATAGGGAAGATCATGTACTGACTGAGGAGACAGAATGCTTAGGTCACTTCAAAAGTCGAAGCTCTCCACGTGTTGCATTGTGACTCTGGCAGCGGCGGCGTGGGACATGCAATGCGTGGTGCTGTTGGCGAGGCTTGGGAAATCTGAAAGTGATGCACGGAAGGAAGACATGGGAAGAGCGGGACCTGGGAAAGTACTAAATGCATTTGATATTCGCTACAACTTGTTTATCCTAACAAGGCAGACAAAAAGTGGCGAGTGTCACTAGCCTCGCCCGCTGGTCTTGGCTACACCCTACACGTACGTATGCGGTGGACCCAGAAGACTGAAGAGCAAGCTTTACTCTACTATGGGTTGTACAGGAAATGCGGGCTACCATAGCTGTAGCAATTAAAACACTTTGTAGCGATAAAAAAAAAAAATGCAAGGATTCAAACGAGGACAGCAAAAACGCAGGGATGTGTGATGGAGGGACTCAGCAGCAACGCAAGCCATACAGTCGTGTCTCGAGGCAATGCGTTGCTAAGTGAACACCCTGAATGGCAGATTGCCGAAAAGAGCACGGAGGAATGGAGCTTTCATGCATGACTAAACGACAATCTACTGCGTTAATATATTTTACGCTAAGCTCTGATAACGTGGAATGAGACGGTTTGGAGGCAAAGGACGAGAGAAACGGAGAGTAAGGAGCATCAACGGACTCGAAACCATCGACGAATGGAGGGAAGTGATGACGAGGGTAGAACTGGTGCGAATTGAATGGAATGACGGGACCAGCCTTACCTCAGAACTGCTTCTTGCAGATTGAAGCGTCGTGAGGATAGGAGAGGCAATGACGCTCACTAGGCGCAACGAGTTCTACACACACCAAATGATACGAAATCCTGCGCGAATCTCGAGTGAGAAATTGGAATGGCTTTGAAACGAGCAGATAATTCGTGAGGAAGGAGCGGAGGAATAACAGCTGTACGAATGATACTAACTATGAAGCGGGTTCGGAACCTGAATGCGCCATAGATAACTAGTAATGCCAAGCTAAGATGTCTAATAAGAGAGTCGCTAAGATGCTATGGCGAGCAGTCGAGTGACTCGTGCTGCGTTTCAAATTTGTAATGACAAATAACCAAAATTCACTTCATTCAACTATGTGTGGACGAAGTGCGAGTAACCAGTTACGTACAAATGTCGTCACGTGAGCGAAAGTACGCCTCCAGAGTGAGAATATGTTTGCAAATCCGTAACGGGTGAGGTAGGAACGATGGCACTGGCGTTGTACCTCGCTCAAGGCACATGTCTGGTTGAACCTGCCAACGACACATTGACTCGCACGTTAGGTCTCGGTCACTGCTCAATTCTCGAGCAGATTCGTTTATTTTTGCTAACATCGGGATGGTAACAGTTAGAAGTGCGAATTGAACTTGACGGGCGTTTCACATTGCAAATACCTATTCACCAATTTCCCTCACACAATCTTCCCCGCTACTCGCTGCCACTTATTACTAACGCTGAACGCTACGTTCCGTTCGCCAACAGCTAGATCCGCGCCAGCAAGCACGGGTCTTACCGTCCACATGCGATAGCCGTCTGTGTCAACTTGCCACGTGTCAGTGCATCGAAGGCGTCCAGATCGGAATACACCGTAGCCCTTCTACTCTCGCGCAAACGCGCCTCGGT